AAAAAAAAAAAAAAAAAGATGGAAGAGGAACCAGAGCCACAGGGGGCCAGGCCGCATCGTGGGGCCTCAGAGGCTTTGCAGCACATGGGCAGGTATCACTTGGGACCCCACCCCACCCCACCCCATCCCCAGAACCCCTGCTGACCCCTTCTCCAGGGACAGACGCCCCAGGGAAGGCAGATTCCACATGATACGCAGGGGACTCCCACAATCATGCCATGGAGAAGGGGCCGGTGCCCCAAAGGAGCCCACAGACTTGCACCTCCTATTCAACCTTTATTTGCAAACTCTGAGGTCGCACGTTGTACCTGAGACTCTGGACGGTGTCATCTGCTCTCCTTCCCGCTTCCCCCATTCCGGGAAGGGAAGGGATGGTGGTCACTGCTGGGCTCTGCCCCATCCTACCCTCTCCCGACCCAAACTGTGCAATGAGACTTCTCTCTCTCTCTCTCCCCCTCTTTCACCTGGACCTGCCAAGTCTGGGGTGCAGGGTCCCACGCGGCCGCCCCTGGCCCACGGCCTCGGTGGCAGCCAGGGCCTTCCCGGGGCAGGTTCCCACAGGGCACCTGTCTGGACAGCGGGGCAGCAGTGCCCACCAGGGACCTGGGTGGAGGCGCACGCTGGCTGTCCTTGTCAACCAGCTCTGGGTTCCAGCTTGCAGCGGGGTCTGGAGTGGTGATGGGAGGGGCCCCCCACTCCGGGGGGTCCCGCCCATGGTGGCGGGCAGCCTACAAGGAGGACGCGGCAGAGGAGGGGGCTCCCGAAGGCCACGGCCGACAGGGTCAGCACCATGGCCTGGGCCGGGCCGTGGCGGCAGGGGCAGGCGGTCGCAGTGGGCTGGGGGTGGCCCTCAGGGGGGTCGGGTCCCGAGCAGGAGCCCCGCTGCGCGTCCAGCATGGACGGCGGGGGGCAAGCGGTACAGTCCAGCGGGGAGCTGCCGCGGCAGGTGTTAACAGGACGGGTGGCAGCTGGAGCAGACCCGCAGGGCAGGCGCGGCTGGGTGCCCAGGCTCAGCCGTCACCGCCTGCTGGGTGTGCTTGAAGTACCTCGGTGGGCAGTAGGCGAGGCAGAGGTGGCCCAGAATGTAGGCAGGGCTCTGGCATTCTGCACGAGGGACACGTCCACCGGGCTGTGAGGCCACGACCTGCTGCCCCGGCCTGCCCGTCCCCTGCCCCAGGCCGCACACGCACACTGCCCGCCTGCCGCCCTCCAGCAGGTGGGCCATGCGGCACCGGGCACTCACCCTGGCACGGCCCCTCTGTGTCCCGCTGCACACACGCGCTGCTGGTCACCTGGGGGCCCGAGGGCCGCGCCGTCATGTCCTCGGCCGTCCCATAGAGCAGCAGCGCGTAGCGGTACAGCGTCCCTGGGCAGGGGTCGCGGTGGGCACGGGGAGATGAGGGAAAAGGCTGTCGGCAGCCTCGTCCTGCCATTCTGGGCCCCCCCCCCCGGATCCCCAGACTCAGATGGTGCTCAGGGTCGCCCAGTACCCTCTAAGCGCTGGTAACTGGATACCTCCTGCCCCTAATACCTGAACCCCTACTGTGCACTGGTAACCAGACACCTATTACATGCCAGGCCTGTGTGCTCAGTCTCTCAGAGGACACCAGCGGGAGCCCTGTGCCTTGGGCTTGGGGGCAGTAAGGAGGCCGCCAGCTCCAGAGCATGGGGCAGGTGGGGCTCGAGCCCCAGCCTGTGCCCGGCTCTCACCTGTGTTGAAATAGTAGCCCTTGTTCTCCAGGACCAGGGTCCACAAGCCGCGCGGGTCCTCGTCCCAGAAGTGGGTGGACATGAAGATCCAGTTGTTGTAGCCTTGGCCACTGACGTCAAAGGGTCTGGGACAGACAGTCAGGCAGGGGGATGAGGGGGGCTTCACAACCACAGTCCTGACCAGCCGCGAGCACAGTAATTGTCGGTGATGCCAAGGGGTGGGGTCCAGCCCGCCTGACCCCACGGGGCACTTGTCTCCTCCTTGTGGGGTTGCTCAGGAAAGAGTCTGTGGCCCAGTCCGCTGCCTCCGCACCTGATGGCCACAAGTGTGGAGCGGGTGCCCATGGGGCTGGTGAGCGAGATCTCCAAGTCCCCACGGCGGCTGTAGGACAGGGACAGCTGCACCTGCACGTGCTCCAGCGAGCGGATGTAGTTGGTGTGGCCTACGCAGGCCGACACGTTCTTCCTCACGTGTATCACCCGCAGGATGGGGCTGGGGGCTGCAGCATGTGAGGTGAGGGCCCCTCCTGCTGGCCTGCTGGGAGATGGGCGGCCAGCAGGCAGGGTCTGGGCTCAGATCCTGCCCTTTCCTTGTACAGATGGCTGAACTGAGACCTCGGGGCCTGCCTCCACGTGTCCACCCACCAGGGTGGTAATGACAGGGGTGGGGGGAGAGGTCTGGGGACGTGGCAGTGGGGACGTGGCTGGGGTTAGATGTGGGCGTGCAGGTGGGCAGAGGAGGGCGCTCACGTGGGGGTGTGCACAACGCGGATGATGCATTTCTTCTGGGGCTGTGTGGGCAGCCACGAGCGAGCCAAGTCCACCAGCAGCCCGGCGTCCAGCAGCCCGTAGCCGTAGTGGTGGCTCACTGCGTGGAGGGGCGTGGTCATCGCCCTGTGGGCGTGGCGTCCCCAACCCCGCCCATCCTGCCTCACCTTGGCGCCCCACGCCGTTGGTCCTCCAGTCCTCGGCCTGGAGCTGCGCTGGCCTGGAAGCCCGGACCACCAGATGCTGCACGTCCCTCCACGTCAAGGATGGGCTGGGAGTGGGTGAGGGAGGGTGAGCCGGGGCCACACTGGGGAGCTCCGGCATTAGGCGGGACCCCTCCGTCACCTACTTGGCCTCCAGAGCCAGGGCGATCATGCCCGCAGCCAGTGGGGCGGAGGCCGAGGTGCCCGTGTGCTTGTCCGTGCACCGGTGGTGCAGGTCTGTTGTGACCTGGGTGCACAGAGAGGGACTCAGGCGCCTGGTGCACAGGAAAACCCAGCCCTTGTTCAAAACGGCCCAAGCGCTCCAAGGAAGAGGCACCTCAGAGCGTGACAGCAGGTCTGGGGCCGTGACACAGCCACCCAGCTGCCAGCCCTGCCTGGGAGACACGAGGGCATGTGAAGGGGCGCCAACCATGGGGCCTGGTCTCTGAACCCCAGTCTGTGTGTCTGACGTGAACCCGGCAGCCCTGGGAAGAGGCAAGGTAGGGGACAGGAGGGAAGGCAGGGCACCGGGTGGGGCGGGTGCTCACGATTTGGGGGTTGGCAGCAACCCCGCTGCTGTAGGTAGTGGTGAGTGTGGAGGCGCAGGCCTCGCTGTACCAGGGCACGCGGCCCTGCTGGGTGGTGCTGCCCACCGAGAGCGTGTGGATGCTGTTGGTGTAGCCATCACAGTTGCAGTTGTCATAGTGTAGGCCACCGTTGCCCGACGCCCAGATGAAAAGGGTGCCCAGCCCACCTCGGCCCTGCAGATGGAGAACCAGGCCAGAGACGGGGACGGGGTGTGGGCCGCGCATGCTGGCTCAGGCCCTCCGTGCTCCATACCAGCTCACCTTGGTCACGCCGCTCCTGAAGGCCTCTCGGGTGAGGATGCCCGGGCCGTCCACTGTGCGGCCATCGTCCTCGGGGCCCCAGCTGGCGCTGTAGATGTGGATGTGCTGCGGCTGCAGGCTCAGCGACTGGGCCTCGATCACGTCAGTGATGGTGCCATCCAGCATGCGCACCCCTGCACAGGCGGCCTTGGTGAACACCCCGCCTGCACCCCGCACTCTCCCCGCCCTGGGGATGGAGGTGTCTGTGAGGGTTTCAGCTCTCCCCCACCCTTAGCCTGGGGCCCTGACATGGCCCAGTGGCTAGTGTGGGGCCAAGAGGCGCCCCGCCACCCTCCTGGCCTGAGTACCTCCGATTCGGGCATTGTAGGCGACGCCAGCACCACAGAACCTGTTGTTTGCCGTCGCTGCCACTTCCCCAGCACAGCGGGTCCCATGCCTGGCGCCAGGACAGAGACAGGTGCCCGTCACAGCCCCTTGGCCCCTCGTAGGGTAGCGGGGGCTGCCCCCATGCGCTGTGGGATACTGGGCTCACCGGTTCTCATCGCTGGGTGTGTATCGCGGCTGGGGGTCCGGGTCATAGTCATTGAAGTCGTAGCTGGCTAGGGGGTCCTGGGGGGTGGAGACATGAGGGGCTGCAACCAGCCGTGGGACCTGGGGCAGCCCCCACCCCAGCCCCACAGGCTCACATAGTTGGCCCAAAGGTCTGGGTGGTCCTTCTCGATGCCGTCGTCCAGGACAGAAACCACGATGCCCTGGCCAGAAAGCCCCTGGCTCCAGACCTGCAGGATGTTCAGGTCCGGCTGCACCTCCTTGTTCTGTGCAAGGCGGGGCCGGGGTCAGTGGGGCTCTGGCCTGGCCTGGCCTTGCCCCGCCGCCCAGCCCGGCCAGCTCACCATGTACCACTGCTTGGAGAACCAGGGGTCCGTGGGCACCACCAAGGAGCGTTTCACCCGCCGCTGCACCGTCTGCTGCTGGAACCACTGCACCTGGGGGCGGGGAGACCACACCATGGGAGGGGCTGGACCCATGAGCAGCCCACCCTCCTCCCAGCTTCCTGCCCTCACACCAGGCTGCTTTAGAGGGCCCTGCCCCTCAGCCCTTCCGCCAATTCCTGGTCAAAGGGCCCAAATCTGCTTCCAGAGTCTGGCATCGGCCTCTTCCCTGCATCTGCCAAGGGGCAGCGGTGTGGGGCTGAGGCTTAATGTGTCTGGGCTGTCACCTACTTGTCCTGGGGCCCACGTGGTGTGCGATGGGGCCAGGGACCCCGTGTTTGCTGAGGCTGCTCTTGGGGGTCCCCGTGTGCCTGGGGCTCTGCCTCCGGAGGGGACTGAAGCCCTCAGAGCACCCATCCGCTGTGGCCCACAGACATGTGGTGGCTGCTACTCAGGGTGGCTGCGGCTCCTGGGGTCCCAACCCTGCCCCCGTCCCCATCCCTGTTCTAGAATCCCTCTCCCCAAGACATGCCCATATCCCCTTGCAGTATTCACTTCTCTCGACTGCACCCTCCCTGGTGCAGGACACCCCTGTATGACCACACCCACCTCCTCCCTGGTCTTCCAGCCCTGCTGCCTCTCTACAGTCCATTCTTGGCACACTGCAGCATTACTCTCTGTGGAACCCTCTCTGTGAAACCTGTGCCTGTCCAACACCTCTCCAAACCCCACAAGGCCCCCTGCCTGTCTGGCCCCCAGCAGCCTTCCTCTGCTGCAGCCACAGTGGCTGCCTCACCCCAGGGCCTTTGCACATGCCCTTCTGCCTGCCCCAGGCCACCCTTTCTCAGACCTTTGCCCTTTCCCTTTTTTCCTTGTTCTGCTCCCAATACCCCCCCAACCTGGTTCATGTTCCCCCGTCCCCATCTCAGCAATCAGGGCCATCTTCTCCCCGTTTTCTCAGCTCCAGATCCTGATTTCTCTCTGTCCCACACATCCAATCCATCAGCAAGCCCTGGCCTCTGTCCTGCAAACCACGTCTCGAATCAACCACTTCTCTCTGTCCCAGTGCTCCTGGTGGGGTTTCCAGCTGTCATGCTTCTTGCCTCCTTGCCAATCAGCACCCCCTCCCCCAATCCAGCCTCTTTATGGGGTACCTGGGAACTTTGACCTTTCAGGGTGAGATAGAGGAGGGAAGGGGAGATGACAAGAAATTGTTGACAGTGCACCTGCCCTGGGGTGAGTGCTCTGCACAGATCTTCCCATTTGACTCCCCACTGTATAGACTAGGGGGCCAAATGGACACCAAGACTCAGAGAGAGCTGGTGACTTGCCGAAGGTCACACAGACATTTATTACAATTACAAGAATATCGAGAGGTGCTGACATCCCTCAGGAGGCAGTCTCAAGGCCAGGCTCACCTTGGGGTCTTTCTTCAGGCGCAGGTGGTGGCCCCAGTGTGGGGTCAGGGACTGCTGGACCACACCCCGGTGCCGCAGATGGAAATACTGCCCATCAGGGAAGATCTGGGAATAAAGGGGAGCAGCTGCATGGCTGGGACCTGGTTCCCCTGATGGAGTCCCTCCCAGGACAGGGGCCAGCCCCACTTCCTTACGTTTCCCCCAACCAGGTGCCCAGGTGGGAGCTTCAGATGCCCTCTGAGGGTCCCAGGATCTGGAGATGGTCTAGGCAGTAGTGAGCTGGGGGGTCCTTGATATCTGGGGAACCTAGCGAGGTACCCTCTCATCTGCCGGGGTCTGGGGTCGTCCAGCCCCCGCCCCCTCCCGTCAGTCCGGGTCCCACCCACCGGCCCCAGGTTGACGAAGCCGAATTTGCGCGCCAGGCGCTCGATTTCCTGGTAACCCTGGGACACCCGCACGGCCCAGCTGCTGACATAGATGGGAGCCCGGGGTGAGGCCCAACCCACAGCCATGGGGTCAATGAGTGCCAGGCCCAAGGCCAAGGTCAGGCGCAGCCAGAGCGCAATCCCGCCAGGCCGCATGCCGGCGGGGGCGGGGGTGGGGCCTCGGAAAAGCCCCTCCTCCTGGCCAAACCGCCGAGACGGCCCAAGCGCCCGCGCCGCCCCCGGCGCCATAGCAACCCCTGAAAGCCTTCAACTCCCAGGGGGCCTTGCAGCTCCGCAACTTGATGGGCGCGAAGATCTGACAGCAGGGTGGGTTAGAGACATCCCCACCCTGTTCTTCCGCAGACTCGAACCCTCTGGAGCCTCAGTCTCCCCATTTGTACAATGATTCCCCAATTCTTCTGACCCAAAGGTGCGGGTTCACTGTTGCTATAATTGACCCCGCCCCTTATTTTGCCCCGCCTACTTTCCTATACAACCCCCCCCCCCCCCAAAAACCC